TTACGAGAAATGCTGGCAAGGGGTATCCACAGTGCACCCAAGCGCTGCTGAGGCCTCCAGCACCACCTGGTTCCTGTTGACAGTTCTGGACTCTTTGTTTCCAAGGAAAACAGAGCAACTTCCACACAGTCTGTTCTGCTTTTATAAACTGTTTAAAGGTACTTTTCTATTGTCATTTTAAAAAATAAAGTGCTAATTCCAGCTGTCACACCACTGCTTGGCAAATTCCTTCTTGCAAGACCAAGTACATCCCATGCTGCAATCTAGGAAGTGGCAGATTTTGTTCCCATTTTCAGGTCTGGACGGAGCCACCAACGGAGGGATGGGAGAGCTTGTGCAAATGCTCTACTGTGGGTGCCTGGTGACCCACAGGAGGTTCACAGGGGAGAGACATACTTCTCCCCTGATGTCTTTTTACTGCACTCAGCACACCACACATCCACCTCCGCCTACAAAGACTCTGCAACCTACATTTGTGGTTTTCTTACTATTAAGAGTAAGAAATATACTCCATTAAGTGATAAAACAGGCATTAAGAGCCAAGCAATAAAATGCTTTACATGTAACACTCTCACCAAGTTCTCTGTCCCCAGAAAGGGGGAGGGAGGTCACGGTGCTCAATTCCAAGCAAGGACAACAACCATTAACAGCTATTAGTCTTGCTGGGCACTGACATTCTAGGTTCTGTTCTTGGATCACACGTACCTTTTGCAGAGGAGACCAGCCACCAAAAGTGGGTCCCAGCCACAGCCTTCCAGTACCCTGGAGCCGGGGCTGAAGGCACAGCTCTGCCTGACTGCCCAGGCTCTGAAGCCCACACCCATGACGGTCGTGGCTCTGGGACAGACTCGATCACGTGGCTTCACCTTCAGCCCATCTGGGACTTTCCCACTCACTCCAAGGCACCAGGTTCAAGCCAGGCAGCATAGATCTGAGGGCGCCTCCCTGGAAGGGCTGAACACCACCACTGCTGTGTGCTTTTTCATAAAATGAGTGCCTGGTCACCATCACTGTGCAAGGGACAAGTGTGTAGAGAGTACCTACCTGTCTAGCATGAACTCCAGGCACAATCCACTGTCTGGTCCTTGAACACCAGCTTCATTTCCTGTCACTCCACTGAGCAGAAACACAGTGTATCTTCTGGAACTGGGAACTTGGGAAAAGAAAAGGGCAGGTCTGTCTGTTCCCTCTGCTTACACACATACTGTCCCAGTTTGTAGGCTCCAGAAAAGCGATAATGAGGCTGTCTTTTGTTACCAAGTAAATCCTCCCTTGGGGGTAAAGATCTGATGCTTCTGAACATAGGACTAATGCAGCTATAATATAAAACCAGCAGGCAGTACTGAAATTAAGAACTATGCCTTCTACCTCTAACAAAATTACAAAGTAAATAAATCTGGAAAAGAACCTTAAAACATGCAAAATGTATGTTATACTTACAGTATAATCATGTGTGGGCTTCAAATTCACTGGACCCATACCTGAATATATGGCAGACCCACTTTCATAGAGTAAGCATGGCGGATGCCCCAACAATTCTTGGGCTCTGTGTCACAATGACATACAGGAACCAACTGATTCTGCGTGTTTCGGGCAGGCCTGCTTGGCTCTAGGAGTGTGAGCAGACTCCCTACCGTCTCCCCATCCATCACTGGGACGTCCGACTGTCAGGTGACAAGCATGTTCGAGTATCAGCACACGGCTGCTCTCTTACTCTTCAACTGTTCTGTCACACCTGATGACATCACACAACTGTCCAACATTCTGAGAAGGCAGAGGAACATCTGTTACTAATGACATTATCTGTAACACTGGTCTTCAAAACGCCTACACCACAACTCATGACTCTGATACTGAAAACTAACTGATAAGCCTCTAAGCAGGCAAATATTTACCTGCCACAGGGAAGCTCTGTCACCACCGCAAACCATCCTGGATGGTACTCAGCTCCCCAAGACTGGCCTGGCTCTGTAACGACCCCAAGCCCCTAGATGCCAATATACTGTGAGAAACCTTCATCTTGTTCTATTTTTGCAGCTCTCAAGCGACCCATGGGTGCTGATTCACTCGGACTTCCATGGTACAAACCACACTTTCCTGCTTTCTGAGTGGAAAAGGGCCCTGTGCCCATGAACCATTATAACAGGCCCATAAATCAAGACCACAGGGAAGCCTGTTCCCGACTGCTCACATATACCACTCATTTCAAGTTTAACTCTCTTGCCAAGCTAATTAACAACAAACAGAAATTTAATTATGTTAGATGCTTAAATTCAACCCAAACTTGACTTTGGAGAAAAAAGACACACCTACGTGGAATAAGAAATAATGCTCAGGTTAAAATACTAGTATTTACCTGGACACAAGAGTACTTTTTCCTTAAAACTAGGATGCAAAAAGTTCAAAGCCTCTTGACACTCTTGTGCAAGATAAAACCTGGTCTTGGAGTTTCTGGAGACGGTCCTGCCAAGGTCAGGCTGTGGTTTACTCCGTATGGTAAGCTGGCCCTGAAGGTCTCTGGAGCCCTGCAAAGTTCTGGGTGGTGGCAAGTCACTGTGTTCTCACAGTGTCTTGAACCCACATGGTTTGAGTCACAGGAACATGCTGGCCCATCTCCAAACCAAGAGCCAGATGAGTGTTCCAGGCCTGTCTCCAAAGGGTCCGTGGCAGCAGCCTTGCCACTTGGCCTGCGAGCACCAGCAGGTCTTTCCAATGGAAACCCCACTATGAAGGGAAATGTGCTTTTGTTTCTTGAGCTGTGGCCAGAAGGAAGGGCAACAGCGTGATGTCAGGGCCTGTTCCAGCTCTGCTCCCCAAGTGCTCACTCAACACCATGCTCACAGGGCAGGGACGGGGGTTCCAAAGTCCAGCTCACCTGAGAAGTGGTTTCCAAGAGGTTCTCCCCCACAGAACACCCACTCTCTCAGGAAAAGCCCACAAAACACGTCTGGGGAAAGGGTGGACTGTTCTCTGTGAAGCGCCAAGGGTGGCATCATGTGATGAAGGTCATCACACCGTCGCCACACACAGCACCCCAGCCTTGCCACACAGCAGCAGCGGCGGCCCGGCTTGTTAAGGACAGTCACTAATACCTTAAAAAAAAAACACCTGCAAATGAATCGTTTTTGCGAGTAAAAGCAGTAGCTAGAAGGAAGAGGGGACATCAAGTCTCATTTCCCATGCTTCAAAAAACCACTGTTGGCTGCTAAGAACTGGGGAGTTTATAAATCCAAATACCCTATCCCCACACCCAAAATGTATTTTCTGCCGTTGACTTCAAACACCCCATCACAGAAGAACCCAGGGGTGTATGTCTGCAGCACCCTTGCTACAAACCATGGACCGAGCAGGAACGGGAAGCAGCTGCCCTGCCTTCTCGCTCAGGCACGGCTTCACACGTATCAAGTGCTCTTCTGTCCCTCGAGTCCCACCATCGTCTGACCACACTTACAGGACATGACAGCAGCAGCCAAGTGTTCGGTTTTTACACTTTGGGCTCAAAGACATTCCTTTTAGCCATCCCCTAAAAGCCTCAGCTGACTGTGATGAATTATAGATCAAACGCACTAAAGATGGTCTTAAACTTTTAATGCACCCAGACATGCCCATTCCAACTTGCTTCTTCTAAACAGCCCACAGACCCAGCAGAAACAGGCAGAGGTGAGACCGTGACTTTGATTTTAATTTGAATTTCTCGTGGAAATGTTTCTAGCTACCCAGAAGAATTGGTAAAGAACTTCTATTACAACCTTCAAATACAACTGGGTTCCTATCACAATTTGCTGCAAAGACTATCTCCCTCCCCACATATCAAAACAGCCAGAAAACAACAAAATGCAAACAGTCCAAAGTCCTCCCCTATCAATAATTACCTTAAACATAAATGGATTAAATTCTCCAATTATAATACATAGAATTGAATGGATTAAAAAAAAACACAAGATCCTGCATGCCACAAAGATCCAGTGCAAATAATTAAAGAAAAAAAAAAACAAAACGAAAAGATAATCTATGGAATCAAAGAAAACATTTGCAAATCATTTATCTTACAGAGATAAGGGGGAGTTAATATCCATAATACATAAACAGCTCATACAATTCAATATCAAAAAAAAAAAAAAAAAAAAAACCCCACAAATAATCCAGTTGAAAGATAGGCAAAGGACCCAAACAGACCTGAATAGACATTCATCCAAATAAAATACACACGTGACCAACAAGTCCTGAAAAGATGCTCAACATCATTAATCAATGAGGCGTCTTAGTTTCACATCTTCTCATGATATATTTTGGGGCTTGGGTATAAGAAACAGGTAAGATGACACTCAAATCAATGAGAAGTAAAGACAAAGGATAAAAATTAAAACAAAAAAATGGCTCCCTGTCATGTGTACAAAGTAGTTACTGCTCTGGGTTATCATTATGCCTTTTTTGAGAACACCAAACCCTATAATTCACTAGCTTCAATATTTGATGTGAGGACCATATCAACCAACCCAAAGAGCCCCTACAAACCATAAACAAGCAGAGAAGGAAAATGGGTCATTTACAGTACAATGCTGGAATGACCACAGATCTCCCCAAAAGTCATGACAATTCTTAGGAACCTACATATGTGGTAACAGCTCTCGTGAGCTCAGTCAGTGAGAACCTCGGGCCAGGCGCCAACACGGCTGAGACACCGTAACACAGACATTCAGGCTGGTGGGTAGACTCAGTCCATGCTTACTGTAAACGGCATGACAAGACTTGGGAAATCCAGGAGACTAAACAGTGACTTATCCTTTTAAAAGAAAGCATTAAAAATCACGCCAAGTGTACCTTTACTGCTTCCCTTGCTAACAATAGGCACACCTTGGGTTCCACCTGTGAAATCCACACGCTCAGTGACACAGCCCAGACCACGGTCATCAACAACATTCCAGACCTGCACCTGCAGGACTCAGAGACCGCCTGCAACCGCCAAGGACGGAAAGAAGCCAACTGAAGTCACCGACGTCTTAGAGCTCCTTCTACAATGGTTTTATTATAAATATGATCTTTTGGAATAAACAAATATTGCATTCAAGACTACCAGCAAACTTGTTCTAAAGTGATAAAAGAGGGGAAAATGGAACAGGAGCCACTCAGAAGTAGCGATAAATAGCAAAGATGCCTGCACGCCATGCTGAGCGCCGCTCCCCCGAGCAGTGACGGAGGGTCACAGGGGACGGCACCGTTCTCATTAGCCCGTTAAGGAAAACGAGCTTCGAGTTTGGTAATGTGCCCTAGCTCCGTAGCCCGAACTGCTCCTCTCGTCGGCCCTGGGCAGGAGGACAGGAAGACGGTCAGCCCGCAGACGCCAGCGCCGCCGGGGAAGCGCTCGACGTGGAACCCCGGGCGCTCACTGCTTGCCGGGCGCCAGGTCCGAGTAGTCCTTCAGCAGCCCGGCCAGGTGCTCGTTGTGCGCCTTGAACCGCCGCCTCTTCTGCGAGGCGGGCTTTTTCCTCCTCTGGACCGGGGCCTGCGGGAGAGGCGAGGGCGGACACGCTCAGCGCGGCGACACCGGCAGGACTCACGCAGGGCGCGGCGAAGGGGCGCGGGGTTCTGTGACCTCCCCTCTGTCCTCGACCCGACCTCACACACACACTTACACACCACACACACACACACTCAGACACACACACACACACCCAACCACAAACACCCACACCCACACACACACCAATCCACAAACTTTCCTCTGTTCCTCGACCCAACCTCACACACACACACACACACACACACACACACCCACCCCACAGCACACCCCCAACCACAAACACCACCAGCGGTTTCCCTTACAGTGAAGTGTGTGCGTCCCCCTGGAAAGAAGGGGCTGGCACAACAGCTTACCACAACTACGCTGGGCACTAAGTGGGTGAAGAGGCAGTATAGCTCTCTTGTTTTTCATCTCTATTATCAGGTTTAAAAAAGCTTATCCACCATTAATTACCCGTAAAACAAAAACCTGAAGCAAATACAACAAAGTACAAAGATACAGCAAAATTGGGGAGTGAATGGGCACAGAAAGAGTTGTTAGGTATTATTCTCTTTACTGCATCACATTAAAAAAAAAATCAACAAACTAAGCAATGATAGGAAACCATGAAATGCTGCAATCACACTAATTTTTAGAGATCACTGGCAATAAATTTTCCCCTTAAAGGAGTCCTAAACATCACTAAATAAAATACACGCACACAAAAGTCACAAAGAAGACAACCTACAAGGCATGATGGTGGCCAGGGGAAGGGGGTGTTAGTGAAATATCCCTCATCCTGGCTTTGTCTCTGAACTGCAGAGAGCTGGTTAGCTGGTACGAGGCAATTCACAAATCTTCATCCAGCTACAAATCCTTCTAAATGAGCCAGATCTGGGGTTATCAGGACAGTAAAATCTGGTTCCTAAAGGATCTGAGCGTCACCAAGGACAACTGAGTGTGACCAGCGCTAAAGCAAAGTCCGGCACCAGCAAGAAGCAGGTTGGGGGATGAAGATCAGGAAGGCCAGGGGGGTGGAGCAGGCTCCCAGTAGAAACCAGGAAGACATCACGGGGATGCCGGAAGTCCACGCGGCTGCAGCAAGAGCAGGCACTGCCAGGACAGGGGCGGGGCAAGCGGAGAAGCACTCATGCTACCCGGGGAGCGGCACCTGAAGGCAAGGAGCATACCAGCCGCGACCTGAAAGCACCTGACCAAGGTCAGAGGGGGAGGACGCGGAGGAAGAACTCCAAGGAAGAACCAGCCACCTGCTCTTCCCAGGGCTACACAGGAAGCAGGCTGACAGTTCAAAGGGCACAGCGCCACCTTCTCTCCCAGAGACTACATACCACCTTCTTTGGTCCGGAGTCCTGCATGGAAGAAATTCCCTGTCGCTTCAGATACTCTTCAATTTTCTCCTCGTCCATTGAATCCACGGTGACACTCCTCCACAGTTTCTGAAACTCTGCACCAACAAGACGTAGTTACCGTACAATAGATGTTCACAAGCTGCAACATCTTGGTGATCAAAATCAGCTTCCATATTATCTCCTCTGATCTGCATTGGCACATCTGAGATTTCATCATAAAAATTAAGGAAGACGGGAACACTCAGATGCTGGACATTGAGCAGGAAAGGGCCTGGGAGCGCGAGCTGCATCCCTAGGCCAGCTCAGCACAGCTCTATTTTTAGAGTCTACAAATGAAGGGCCATGTGATTGGGGCCTCCCCACTTTCCGGGGAAGAGGAAAGTTGACACTCCTTTTATCCCCAAAATCAGTTCTCTCCACTGAAATAGTTCAAATTCCTGCTCATCTATCATGAGCCCAGTACATCCCACTTCCTCTCCTATGGAAGAGAAACACACAGGGAGATGAGGAGCCAAAGTTTTATATGAGAGTGTAACAGTCTATTTGCAAAAGAGCCTTCTGAAATCAAATAAACCAGGAATGGGTGACTACGAGGGTCATCAAAGTGAAGGGAGGGAGGCTGAGACAGTAACTCTGCAAAAGAGGACAAAGACCTTCCTACACCGTGTTCTCGGAGACCCTTGACCCCTTTGCCACATCACTATTTTTGCAAACAAGAGAGATCACAATTGGGATGTGTCCAGAATGAAACTCACGTGCATCTTAAATTCTGTCCCTAAAGACAGGCCCCTTTCTAAGTGGCACCAGTGGTAAAGAACCCGCCTGCAAATGCAGGAGGAACAGAAACTCAGGTTAATCCTTCAGTCGGGAAGATCCCCTGGAGAAGGAAATGACAACCTACTCCAGCACTCCTGTCTAGGAAATCCCATGAACAGAGGAACCTGGCGGGCTACAGTCCATGGGGTTACAAAGACTTGGACATGACTGAGCATACATGGAACAAAGACAGACTCAGACAGCCTGCTTTCACTTCTTCATTAACTTGCCAATGAACATCATCTACTCGCCAACACACAAAAAGTTTATGATGGAAAATCAGAAGATGAATGTACTCTGAAGGACAAAAAAAAAAAAAAAAAAAAAGGGAAAGTTCCCTGGGTGCCCGGAGGTGAGCGTTCTCCTCAGATCAGGACACACACACACAGACATACCCCATCCCCTCACCCCCCGCCACAGGATCTGGAGGCCTAACCCAGGCCGCACCAGCACCCCCCACCCATCCCTGTCACTGCAGAGCCCTCAACCTTCAGGGAGACTCGGCCGCAGTCCATTAACAAGCTGTAAATAAAATCAGCACACAATACCGCTGGACCAGACTCTTCTCTTTCCTGTCTCAATACAAACTACAGGAGGCAAGCCATGCCCTAATAGCTGGGGTGCCAGTCATATTTAAGAAATCTGTCTTGACAAAACTTTGGTTGTTGACAATGACCAAATGCAAAAATGACAGTCTCCTACAAAGAATTCAACTTAGGCACAAAGTGTTCTGGGGGTTTTCCTGTTTGTTTTTTTAAATATTTATTTGGTCGCATTAGGTCTTGGCTGTGGCACTCGGAATCTTTAGTTGCAGCATGCACAACCTTAGTTGCGGCCAGTGGGGTCTAGTTCCCTGACCAGGGATCGAACCTGGGCCCCCTGCATTAGGAGCGCAGTCTTAGCCACTGGATCACCTGGGAAGTCCCCAATCTGAGCACAAAGTTATTTCTAAATAAAAATATTCTACATTTCTATAGATACATTAGGGGCTCATCTCTTGTATGTTCCCTGAACTTCCATCTGCATAGATTCCAGAAACCACTTAACAGGTGTCAATTGTTTGTTTGCACGACTTTCTCAGCCTCTTGAAGCTCCTTAGAAGGGGGAATTCTATTTCATAAGTTTTCCGCTATGGTTGGCGCTGAACTTATTTACTAGCACATCCTCAACAATCTGACCACTGAAAGTATGAAATGCTATTGTCTGGGCATCAGAGAGCATCCGTTTTCCTTTTACATTTTTTAAACCTCAGTTGCATCATTAGTATACCCAATTCCAGGATGTGCTTTGACCCCATTTTTCCTAATGTTAACACTATATAACCTTAACAAAACTATTTAAACTAATACAAGCCTATTAACTGAGCCATTAACCTTATTCTCTCATCACCAGCTTTAGCAGCAACAACCCCATCCTGGCCCAGGATCCCACTGTGTTTAGTTGCTGTCTCCTTGCTCCAGGCTCAAAATACATGCCCAGTCTCTCTGCTCATCTCTCAGGACTGTGACACCTTAGAGAGTTCCGAGAGTTATTTTATAAAATGGCCCTCAGTGTGGGGTTGTCTGATACTTCCTCATGATTAAACTGAGGTTCTACCTTCTGGGCAAGAACATCACAGAGATGATACTGTGCCCTTCTCAGGGCCTAATAACCTCAAGGGTCCATGATGTTCACATGTCTTTTTACTGGGGCTATTAGACTGATCGCTGGTTAAGGTGGTGTCTATCAGATTTTTCCACCATGAAGCTATTATCTGTCCCTCTGTAGTTAATAAGCATCCCATGGAGAGATTCACTAAGACTATGCAAACTTACTGCTTCTCTGCATACTTTAGCTCACTAATTTCAGCATCCATCGATGCCTCTTGCCAACTACAATTGCTAATTATGGGTTTGCCTAAAGGCACATTATTTTCATCGTTCCTTTCATGCATGTGGATTAGAATTCTGTTGTAAGGGAGGAGACTATTCTCCATCCAATCTATTCAATTAACTTAGTATGGATTTTTGGATATTTATTTTACTTCACATCAATGGATTATAATCCATTACTATCCTGTCCTACTTGAAGCTAAGATTGAAAACTGTGTAACAAAGTATGCCAGGAAGGAAAGAAAATAAGCAAATTCTTTAATAAGGTTTTGCTTAAATTCCCAAATAACTCATGCATATTTTGGCTGCACCCAAAGCTTTCTTGTGACATACAAAAGCAGCAGAATAGAGTATGGAGCCACATGGCCTGCGTGTGGAACCCAGTGACCTCATTTGACTATGTCCTCAGATGGTAAAGAATCTGCCTGCAATGTAGGAGACCTGGGTTCGATCCCTTGGTCTCCAGGTAAGATCCCCTGGAGAAGGGAGTGGCAACCCACTCCAGTATTCTGGCTTGGAGATTCCATGAAGAGAGGAGCCTGGTGGGCTACAGTTCATGGAGTAGCAAAGAATTAGAGATGACTGTGCGACACACACACACATGAGGGAGGTTATTTAACCTCTCTGCCTCAGTTTCCTGATTTGTAAAACTGGGATGATAATATGTATTTCACAGAGTTGTGGCAGATAAATGGGTTTATATAAAACACTGAGTTTAATGCCCACAAAGGAAAAAGCACTATCTATGTCTTTCAGTTCCATTATCATCTGACGTTGATCATTTCTTATTTCTGAGTGCTAATGCCTTTAAGGAAAGAATGACACATCTGGGCTCAACCCATGTTGTTGAGCATGTCAGCTCTTTGTTCCTTTTTATTTCAAAGTTGTATTCCACTGTAAGGATATACCATACTTGGGAGCGATGAAGGGACAAATTAAAGGGCATTTGAGTTTCCAGATTTTGGAGGAAATGAATAAAATTGATATGCACATGGATTTTGAGCAAACCTGGGTAAAAAGTTAAGAGTGGGATGACTGGGTCATGCAATTATACATATCATAATGCAAAAATAAAAACAACACTAGACACACACCTCACACTATATGCAATTAATTCAAAATGATAAAAAAAAATCTAAATGTTAAGAGCTAAAACAGTAACTCTCTGAAGAAAAAAACAGGAGTAAATCTTTATTGTTGGACTAGGAAATGGTTTCTGAGATATGACATCAAAAACACAAGCAACAAAAGACAAATAAAATGTATCTCATCAAAATAAAAAACTTTTGTACCTCAAAAGATACAAGAAAGTGAAAAGAAGATCCACAGAATGGAAGAAAATATTCACAAAGTATAAATTTTGTAAGGGACTTGTATCCAGAATAAAGAACTCTTTAAAATTCTGTAATTTAAAAAAGTTTAAAATGGACAAAGAACTTAAACATTTTCCAAAAGACAATACACATGTATAACTGAATCACTTTGTTGTACACCTGAAACACTGTAAATAAACTATACTCCAATAAAAAATTTAAATAAATTTAATAAAAAATATATAACTGGCCATTAAGCACATGAAAAGATGATCTTTAGAAAAATGCACATCAAAACCACAATAAAATTCCATTTCACTAAATGGTATCTTAAATAGCTAAGCTCGGTGTTGGCAAGGATATGGAAAAAACAGTTCCCTCGTGCACTGCCAGTGGGAATGCAACATGAGGCAGCTACTTTGCCAAACAGCATGGCAACTGCTCAAAAAGTTAGCCATCGGAATTACCACACAATCCAGCAATTCCACTCCTATACTTAAAGGAAAAATTATGGCCACACAAAAACTTGTACATGAATGTTCACAGTAGCATTAATCAGAACAGCCAAAAAGCAGAAACATCTCAAATGTCCATCAACTGGTGAATGCGTGAATAAAGTGTTATATCTAAATACAATGTTTTTTTGTTTTTTAGTGGGGTTTTTTTTTTTTTTGGTAATGTTCTTTTTAATGTAAGCATTTAATGCTCTATTTCACTTTCAGCACTGCTGCAGCCGCATCCCATGAATTTTGATATGTTGTGCTTTCACTTTCATTTAATTCAACATACTTTTTTTTTTTTTTTACTTCCCCTGTGATTTCCTCCTTGAACCATGAGTTATTTAAAGTGTTATTTGATTTCCAAATATTTTGGAGAGTTTCCAAATATAGCTGATTTCTAGTTTGATTCCATTATGATCCAAGCACATCCTTGGTTTGCTTTCAATTAAGGTTCTGTGGTAGAAAACCGTCTGTCTCGGTGAATACTCCAAGTGCACTGGAAAACATATACACTCTATTGTTGGGTCATCTCGTTTTATAATAAATGTCAATTAGGCAAGTTGGTTAATAGAGTTAAGACTTTTATACACTTACT